GGCCTACGGGGTCCGATTATGAATCTAAACCATTCCAGGGGTGCACTCAAGTCTCAAGCACACACAAAAAATTTCATCAAAATCGGTGAAGCCGTTTAGGAGGAGTTCGCTTACAAACACTTTCAATTATTATTATTATTTATATTATATTTTTATTTTTATCTGCTAGAGAGCGCCACCGGTGTAACTCAGTTTTTGTCTCTAAATCTCTAACTAACATGAGTTAGGTCCATAATTTATGCTATAAACCCGCTCACCGACATTCTCTATCATTTAAAAAAAATTGAGCAAAATCGGAAAAGCCGTTCTCAACTGATGCTATTTCTAATTTTTTGTCTCCATTTTTATATATAAAGATTATTTAAAATATGTATATCAATAATATTAAAAATATATATATATATAAGTAGTTTGAATGCACGAATTGGATAGACATTTTGTAGTACATTTATTTAATGCTAAGAGTTTTTTTAGTAGGAGCTTGGTGTGTCGATTGTTAAGACAATGTTAATTTCTTAAAATATACATGTAACGTTATACTAATATATTAGGGTGGTCCTTATTTTTTAAGTTTCAAAATTTGAAGCAGAGACCCCCAAAATCTGATCTTATGCATGTACAAATAATGTGTGAAAAATTTGGTCAAGATTAGTTAACTCTAAGACGTGCCCCAAGAGGGTTGATTATTTGAACTTAGGGTAGTTTTTCAGTTTTTCCTTATTATCTCATAAACTATTCTACTTACGATAAAAATGTATAGGACGTTTATTATAAATAATCTTATTTCCTATAAAAAATGTTTTAATAAAAAATAAGCTTAAATCTATTGATTTACAATAAAATCAATAATACATATAATGTGCACCATTTCCACTATCGATAGTTTTTAACATATATTTATAAATCAATGAATAATACGAATAATAGTATTTTATTAAACTAACTTAAAATTGAATTTTCAATACAAATGCTATATTATGAATTATAAATGCAACAAACATATTTTATTAATTTATTTAATTCAAATAAATAATAGTTATAATTACTAGTTTTATTATGAGATAAAAAATTATTTAATTAACTACTTAAGTATATGGTTTCTTGAGAGTATCTCGAGTAAATCCAGGATATTGTTTTCTGCAATCTTGAACCACCTAAAAATATCAACATAATATTATTTATTCATTAATATTGAAATATTCGATTTATTTTTAGGTACCTGTAAAACAAATTGTTTTTGATCTTCATTTGTGGTAAACTTGTCGTTATATTCCTGCATAAGTTTGACTCCTCGTTCTGCCGTATCATTGACCACCTTTATTGAATTTAATATGCTTTTTCCTTTCTGGTACTCTTCTAATTCATGCCACTTTTCTGGTTGAACTTTTAAAAAAATTTCAGGAATATTGAATCTTTTGAATACATTTTTGGAATTGGGACCTAACAAATCCAATGGTAAATCTTTATCGAGAAAGTGTTGTACATCTTCAAACTTAACTATGTACTTTTTTTGTGGTTCTCTTTCAGGTAGTTCTTGCAAAATTTTTTCAGCCATTTTTAATCGTGTGTCAATACTTAATTTTTCATCAAATATTGAAAAAGCAGAACACTCTTCACTCAAATACCATAAATGATTTATGAATTTCATTATTGCTTTTTCTGCTACTTCTTTATCGTTTATTTTATACAGTTCTAATTTTTTTAGAAACATTATATCATTCATTGGAGCTGTAATTGCGTTTGGAGTTAAAAACCATGATTCTGCATAGCACTTAATAATAAAACAACATAATCTTTTTAATGCCTTTTCTTCGCGTTGCGTAATTTTGAATTGTTTTTGAAATAAAAATATTTTTAAACAATACAACGCTTTTGCCATCCATCGTGCAAGATGATAAGCACCTGGAGCTTTAAAACGTATCCCCCGTGGTGGCATACCTCCTAAAAATATTATTATTAATTCAAGAAATTCTTTATAGTCATCTCTAGGCAAATCTTCTTTAATTTTATTTATACAAAATTGTATTGTTTCGTCAGCAACGTCTTTTAAAATATCTTTCACATTTTCATCGGTAGACCATATTGAATATGAATTTGTATCTATAGTGTTCCATTCTTTTCTGAACTTTTTAAATAATAAAATATCTGTCCCTGTACTTGTTGCTAATTTTACTTCAGTAAATACACCTTGTAGAACTATTTCATACACATGATGCCTACATGCCAAGTATAAAATATCACGATCAAGTTTTTGCTCTAATAAATTACATGCACCGTTTAATCGACCTGTGTTACTAGCAGTTGTATCAAATACAAAAGCCTGTACTTTGCCTAATAAAGACCATTCCTCTAGAATGTCATATATAGCAGAACTTGTTTCATATCCCGTACCCGAATCAAGTTTTGGAACTCCTAACAACTGCTCTACATTCGGCGCTGTAACAATTACTGGAAGTCGATCAACTTTCAAATGTCCAGTTATGTCTGGTAATAATTTAGAATCCCAATGAAGTACGTATGATTTAATATTTAAATTATCAAACCTATATTTCATCTCTTTAAAAATATGCTGTCGAAATTTTTCCCTAGCAGATTTTATTGATGTTCTGTTAATAATATATTCATTTGGATCAACCGATATTGCATCTAAAACTGCAGTTAATATATGGACACAATCCCTGTCACTTATCTTACACTTATCAAAAACAGCTGATAATCGTGGAGATATTATTTATTTTCTAGCTCTTTTTGTTTTTGTTGGCCCAGAGTCAGGTAAAATTTTATCTTGGATACCTGATGTACTAGGAATAAAACGATTTGGTGATTCTAGCATATTGATATCACAACAAGAGTTCGAATTGTCGGACAAAGATGAATCGGTTTGGGAATAGTGTACTAAAAAATTAAAAAAAAATAATTTGTTAAATTAATTGATTAACTTGTTAATATAAATAAATAAAATGCGTAGAAATCAGTTATGATGGTATTCAAATAAAATATATATAAATATTTACGGCTTAAATACTTCACTATAAAAAATCAAAATATTTTATTAATTATATAACACATGTCACATACCTGGTTCAAGAATTGACTGTTGTTTCTCTTTAAGCAATTTAAATTTTTCTTCCTTGGCTATCTTCTTTTTTTCAATTTTTGTTTGTTTCGTATCAACTCCAAGCATACACCCTTGGCGTCCTTTTATTCACTGTGCAATTAAAAATTGTTTGTCTTCGTCAATTTTTATCATAGATAGAGCGGCAGCCTCTATGTGCTATATCAAACAAATCTTTTAAGCCATCTTCAAATTCTATTCGTTTGTTTTTATTTAATTCACTTGTACGAGCTTTATGCTTTTCCAGGATTCGTAAATCAGTGTACAATTTTTTGCATTTAGCAATACAATCCGAACGATGATGTGTTGGTATGCGAGCTTTTTTCCAATAAATAAGACACTCGTCAATAACTAATGACGCACTTTCTTGTAAACTAAGATTAATGTAGTATTTGCATATATATATTAAATAACTAAACAGATATACATACTATACATACGTTTATTCATTACATAAATTGACAGTAGTTCGCGACGCAACTTCGCAACAAACACTGATAGATCACATATTAGCCACACGGGTCGGTCGCGGTACACCATTATCGATAACGATAATGACGCTACAGATATCACACCTCCCCATTGAAACTAAACTACTACAAAAATTTGATTAAGTACTTCAAATGAAAAGTAATGAATTATTAATTAACATACAGAAAAATAAAATTACATTTTTTTTTTTATATATATCAATAATTACATTTTTTTTTTTTTTTACATAATATATAATTACATTTTTTTTTTTTTTTTACATATATATAATTATACAAAATATCAAGTGAGAATAATAGAATACACATAACTAAATACAATTAATGATTTTAATTTAAAATGAAATCTTTTAATTTGCTTGGTACGTTTATCATTCTTTTTTTAATTTTATTATCGTTCCTAACCGTGGAATTAACTACCTCATTTTCGCTATCATATTTTTGTGAGTCCGTTTCAACTATTGTAGCATCAATAATTTGATCAACGTGTCTAATAAATGTTTTACCATCGTTCGATTCGCATTCATATCTCTTAGTACCTAGTACTTTCTTCACTATAGCTTTTATCCAAGATTCCTTACCCCCTTGTTTGTAAAATTTAATCATCACCTCGTCACTTTCCTTAAATATTTTATTCTGACTGCCATTGTAATTTTTAATTGACTTATCTTGCTTTTCACGCACCACTTCCTCATCCGATTTATACAACAAATCTAATCTACAACGTAATTTCCTACCCAACATCAAAACTGACGGAGACTCACCTGTAGTAGAATGTGGCGCATTTCTATAACCTAATAGAAATTTGTTTAATATGACTGATTTGGGTACATTTTTATTTTTATTATCCGCTAAAGCAGCTGATAAGGCATGCTTTGTTGTTTTAACCGCATTTTCTGCCGCACCGTTTGTAGCTGGGTGTCCCGGAGCTGTGCGTAAGTGAACTATGCCATTACTTTTTAAAAACGTTGTAAATATATGTGACGTTAATTGAGCGCCGTTATCCGACACTAATGTTACAGGTAACCCCCATCTACCAAATATCTCCCGCAGTTCCACAATAGTGTTGTCCGTCGTTATTTTTCTCATCTCTTTTACCTCCAACCACTTCGAATACGCATTTAAAACTACCAAAAAATAACTATTATGGTACGGACCGAAAAAATCTATGTGTATTCTCTGCCATACACCGCTCGGTCTGCTCCATGGAATTAGCTCTGACTTCTTTGGATTTTGTCTTAACTGCATACAATACTTACAGGATTTAACTAAATTTTCTATGTGTGCGTCAATCTTAGGCCACCAAACATACGATCTCGCAACTGCTTTCATTTTTACTATACCTAAATGCGTACTGTGTAACTCGTCTAAAATTTGTTTACGTGATTTACTCGGTATTACCACTCTGTATCCTAACATTAAACAGCCTTGCTCAACAGATAAATCGGTGTGCCTGTCCTTATACGGCTTGATATCATCACTAATCGATTTCGGCCACCCATGAGTCACATAATAGTATACTTTGCTAATGACTTTATCCCTATTAGATTGTAATTTAATCGTATTATGGTTTATCGGAAAATACTCGGATTCAATAAATGCCATATATGTGCTCTGCGGTTCACTATCAACCGAAACGACATATTTCCCTTTTATAGGTAATCTCGATAGTAAATCCGAAGTACAATTATCGTTTCCCTGGATATACTCGAGTGTATACTGAAATCCGGCCAAGAAAACTGCCCATCTCTGAAACCTAGCTGAAGCCATGGTCGGTATATTTTTATTTTCTCCTAAAATCCCAATTAATGGCTTATGATCAGTTCTAATAGTAAACTTTTGATTTTGTAAATATTGAAATAATTTCCTGACCGACCAATAAATTGCTAAAGCCTCTTTATCAGTGACGGAATAGTTGTTTTCCGCCGGCACTAATGTTCTTGAGATAAAACTAATTGGTCGCTCCCTGCCGTCCGGCATTATATGCGATAAGCAACCCGCGATACCCTCATTAGATGCGTCCGTTGACAAAATAATTGGGTAATTCGAATTAAAATGTACTAAAACATTATCTGAAATAATCAATTCCTTAATTTTATCAAAAGCTATTTGACAGTCCCGAGTCCAACTAAAATGTTTGTTCTTCGTTAGTAAATTATAAATAGGTCTCATAATAATCGAAACGTTCGGTAAGAATTTGGAATAATAATTTACCATACCCGCGAATGATTATACTTGAGTTATATTACAAGGTGCTGGCGCGTCTACAATCGCTCTAATTTTATTTTCACATTTGCGTGAGCCTTCCGCTGAAATAATATGACCCAAATACTCAATTTCACTTTTGAAAAATTCACATTTCGATAATTTAACTTTAAAACCAGATTCATACAAAATGTTAAATACTTTATCTAAATTTTTTAAATGCTCCCTATTGTTTTGCCCGGTAATTATAATATCATCCAAAAAATTAGCTACACCTTCATGACCTTGGAAAAGTTGCTCTATTAATTTTTGAAATATTGCGCTTGCCGGCGCGACACCATATGGCAACCTATGTATTTTGAAAAGCCCTTTGTGAGTGCTCCAAGTTAAAATTTTCGAAGACTCTTCGTCTAACTCTAATTGGTTATACGCTTCACTAAGATCAATTTTACTAAATTTTTTTCCTTTACTAACTTTTTGAAAAATTTCTTCAATTCTAGGTAACGGATATTTAACGTCCTGTACAAACTTATTAACCGTGACTTTGTAATCCACACATAATCTAATTTTTCCATCACTTTTTAATATTGGAACTAACGGACTTCCCCATTCGCTCGACTCAACCTGGGAAATTACACCTAATTTCTCTAATCTGCATAACTGTTCTTCTACCTTGTCCTTAAACGCAAACGGAATCTGTCTTGGTTTGAAAAATATTGGCGTAGCATCATCCTTCAACCTAATCTTAAATTTTTCATACACAAATTTACCCATGTCATCATTAAACAATTTTGAATATTTATTTTTTAATTGTTTCAAATTAATTTCGGTATCATCTAACATATTAATATTGGTTAATTTTATGTTAAATTTTTCCATGAAATCTCTGCCTACTAAATTTGGACCTCCTTTCTCCACAACAAAAATTTTAAAAAATTCGCAAGTCTTACCTCTGAAACACATGTCTGCTAAAAAGAAACCTAAAACGTTAATTTTTTCACCTGTATAGCCGCTAACATTTTTAAAAATCTTTTTTAAAATTATGTTTGTGTCGAATAATTCGCGGAATGTTTTTTCCGAAATTACTGTTAAACCTGAACCTGAATCTAATTGTGCCTTTAATTTAATATTATTGATTTGTATGTCTACAATAATCGGTTTTGTAGTAAGCCAGCTACTACGGAGTAATACCAATTTCATAAGTACATAGTTATTATTATAATATACGATGAATTGGGATTCAGAATTAGGCGTAGTAACATTTGACAATAACAATAAAATCAGATTCCACAGGTGTATAAATATTATAATAAACGGTAGACTTGCATAGTCGGGTATTAAGAAGGAAATGGGTCCTTCACACCTATGGAGATCAGGCTCACTGAATAACTCATGACGAGAGGGCTGAAATAGTCATTCGTCATTTTTGACAGAAATACTGGACGCATACGATGAATTTAAAATATTAAAGAGTAAAATGACTAAACACAAGTTAGTAATACATTCAATCGGATAAATATTCAATCGTCAATGCGTGGGCTAGAATGATGACTATACGAGTGACATCCGTGAGAACGGAGATATCGCATATGTAGGCAAGGGGTACGGGGAACCTCATATATAAGGGAGCCCGAATCGGCCTGTATTCAGACGTGAACTACCACCCATTAGTGCAAGCACCTTCACGCCACTCTGTTGAATATTATTTGGACTTAAAAAAATTATCGAACATTAAATAAAAATTCACAATATATTACATCTGTCTTATCATTCATTGTCTACCACGACTACAACATCGAATAAAGTGTCTGCGACCTGCAAATAATAATAACTTGGTTGCCACTTATCTACTGTCAGTACTACGATAGTAGGTACCAAGCATCCAGGCTTATTACACTGGCGCAGTCGAGTACAGGAGGTTCAGGGAGCTAGAGACGAGGCGAGCAGTCAAAGCGGCGGAGTTAAATTTCCAAAGGCGAGTCGAGCAGTCAAGGTAGCGGATTTCAACTTCAAAGGCGAGTCCAGCAGTCAAGGCGGCTACATTCAACTTCGGAGATCCAGTCCCGACGCAGCGGCTACAGCACGTCAGCAGCTCCACGGAGGTACAGTCGAGGTCTGATCAACCAAGGTGACTCCGGAATCAACGGACAAATTCAAGACGGGCCAGCAGACAATCAGGGAAAAATGAACACAGCAGTGGCAACAGCGTTGTTGTGAGTATATTAATTAAGTGAAGATAGATAATTAAATTAGAATTGTATAGCTTGAAGTGCACGTCTCACGTTGATTCATATAAATCAGCGTTTATTTTATACTTGGTGGTGGTGTAAAATATTAGGGAAAAATATTCGAATAAAAATAAATAAGAAAAAAAATAGGAAACAAGATTGGGAAGAACTATATACGTATTTTTGATAGACAGCTGTAGACTGATCTAGGATTTTTGTGATAGGCAGCAGGGACTGACCTAAGTATTTTATGGTATTTTATAATAGACAGCAGGGACTGATCTAAGAATTTTATGGTATTTTTGTGATAGGCAGCAGGGACTGACCTAAGTATTTTATGATATTTTGTGATAGACAGCAGAGACTGATCTAATAAATTAAAAGTAGACGGCGATAGGCTGATCTAAGGAATTAATGCACGCGCGTAGCATTTTTAATTATATATGGGAATAATTGATTAAAGGAAAATATTGAATTTTTGAATTGAAATATAGAATGATAGATAATTGTTGAAAGAAATTAAATGATATATATTGAAGAAAATAGATTTGAATTGAAAGGCAGTAGATGACCTTATTAAAGTAATTGACGTCAAATTTTGAAAAGTTTTGGGGAAAAAGAATTAATTATAAGGCTAGCCTTGGATAAGATTTAGTATAATATTACTAAGAGTAAGTTAATAGAATAATAATTAAAAAGTTATTTTTTCTGGTTAAATTAAATTGATAAAGCGCGTAAAATAGGAAATTAAATCATATAGAAAAATATATTAGTAATAAGAAAAATAAGGGGATAGGAAGTCGAATATTATTAAAGGGATATACGGAGTAGCTAACCGGGAGTTGTTTTATTTTATAATATTCGAGCGTAGTACGAGCGCGTACGTAAAAAACATCGCGGAGCAGGGCGAGGGAAACGGGTGAGGAACACCGTATCGAAATTTAACACGCGTAGCATAGGCGGTCGAACGTTTTACGTGTTATTAGATAGGTACTCATCCATTTCAACGTACGACGCGCGTTTACGTAATTTCTTTTTATTATTTGTGCATGATAGTTATTTTATAAGTAGTAATTTTTAGGTATTATTAATTTTGGTGACGGTAGTTACGTATTAATAATTTATAATTAATAATAGTATATATATGTATAGTAAACACTGTTGGTAATTACTTACGCGGATAGGGAATTAATAATTTAGTAAATATAATTTATTGAAAATTATATATATGTAATGTCTAGATAAATATATGTCAGAATCCGATAGTTCAGATATTGACACTAGTTCTACGGACAGTTCAATAAAAGTTAAAAAATATAAGACTAGGAAAGAAATAAAAGCGGAAATTTTAAAAGACGCTGTAAAGAAAGAATTTTTAGAACGAACTAGGAAACAAGTAATTAAAGCTGAAAAAATTGTTAAGGAAAAATTAGTAAGAACACATAGTTTAACAGAACAAATAGGTACCACGCCACGAAAACAAACCGTAGGACGTTTAGGTACTAGGTCAGATTCAAGCGTAGTTCACGTGCAGTTAGAATCAGTAGTTAAGAAAAAAATGAGTAAAATGGATTTAGATAAAGCAATTGCTATGATACCTATTTGCACGGGCAAAAAGGACGTAGCCGAATTTATAAATATTTGTGAAATCGCAATTAAGGAGACAACGGATGCAGAAATACCGATATTATTGAAAATAATTACTTCTAAGTTAACAGGAAATGCGTTGGAAGTAACAAAATATCGAAATTTAGAAACATGGGGAGCAATAAAAACAATATTAGAGGGGGCATTCGAACAAAAAGTATCGGAGAGGGCCCTATCAATAGCTTTAAAGACGGCACGTATGGCCGAGGGAGAAAGTGTAGCAAAATTCGCTAGTAGAATCGAAGAGTTATATTATAAACTCTGCGCGGCAAGTACGGTAGGTTTAACTCAGGCTGAGGCAGATATAGTGAAAAAACAAACAAAGAAACAGGCAATGATCATATTTATGACGGGGCTACCTCATCACCTATATACAGTACTAAAAAGTCGAAATCCCACTACATTGGAACAATGTTTCAAAACGGCGATCGATGAGATGCTTGAATATGAATCAAAAGTAGAAATGGACAAATTACAGAGACAGATTGGTAATGGAAAACAGGCAGGCGTCAATAACGAGGAAAAACGACAAAACGATGGTAACAACGCAGTTAATCGTGGAGGAAACGGTAATTCAAATCAAAATCACAGAAATAATAATTTCAACGGATATAACAACAGATATGTTAACCACAACAACCGCGGTAATTATGGAAATAATAATCGGGGCGGATATGATTCACGCACGGTTAATCGCGGCGGTTATCGAGGCGGAAACAGCTATGGACGAAATTTCAATGTCAATAATGTACAACAAAATAATAATAATCGAAATAACGCAGGGTGCTACACGTGCGGCAAGTCTAATCACTTGGCGCGGGATTGTTGGAGCAATCGACCAAATGCACCACAAAATACGAACAACAATAATCGTGTGGGCGGCACGCGTAATACGAACACCAACAATAATGTTCGTAGGGACAATAACAATACTCAGGGTGTCCATTGTAGTTACTGTAATAAGATAGGTCATGAAATTTCAAACTGCTATACAAAACAGAGAAATGAAAGAAACACGGCGGGAAACGCCAACGGACCATCACCAGTGGGGGTCAGATTGGTCCAAGAAATAATTCAAGACCCACACACAGGATTTTCCACATCACAGCAGAATTAATAGACAATCACATTACTTTAAAATCACCTAGTTTTAATAAGGATCAAATTAAATTATTAGTCGATACTGGGGCGGATCTAAATATAATTAAAATTAATGCATTAAAAGGAAACACTGAAATTAACGAAAACGAAAAAATTTATTTGAAAGGCATTAATGAAAAAATAGTTTCTACAATAGGAAAAGCAGAAATAGAATTAATAATTAATAATGAAGCATTCGAAACACAATTCTATGTTGTAAATAATATTTTTCCGATTTTGGCAGACGGGATTATTGGTAATAAATTTTTAATTGAAAACCACGCAGTAATAGACGTCGCTAATAACACGTTAACAATAAATAATAATAAAACAGGAAGCGATAGTGATATCTGTTTTACATTAAAACCGCGCTCAGAAACCATAGTACAAATCGATATACCCGATAAGGAAATGAATAATAAAAATATTTTAATAAATAAACAAGAATTAATACCGGACGTATATTGCGCGAACATTTACAATACAGTCAGAAACAATAAAATTACTATAAGCATATTAAATATATCTGAAATGACGCAGAAAATAAATGTAGGACAAGCGCGTAATATTTCATACGACACGGATGTTTCAACAGATAGCGTACGGTGTGTAAACACAATTGACACTGAACGATCGCGTCGGGTTAGGGCGTTGATACGTACTGATCATCTTCAAGTTCATGAGTATAATTCGATAGTAAAAATATGTGAACATTACGCAGACATTTTCTATTTAGAAGGGGATAATCTTACGTGTACTACGGCAGCAGAACACGTAATAAAGGTTCCTAAAGATTTGAAACCGATTTATAAAAAACCATACCGTTTACCATTTTCACAACAACCGGAGATAGAAAAACAAATAGGTCAAATGATGAAAGACGAAATCATAGAAAGATCAATGAGTCCGTTTAACGCACCATTAATATTAGTCAAAAAGAAGGAGGAC